CGCTAATCATGGAAGATCAAGGCACGAAGAGGGCGTATCTCTAGCTGGATGAACAAGCACAGACAATAACGGCTGGTGAAACCATCCTGCCTCGTGTTGCCGGTTGTCGTTGTTGTTTTTCCTCAGCTCTCATCTTTTTCGCAAACAGCAAAACAAAGAGGCAGCATGATGAGGATCACCCATGACCAGCTGTAAGCCGGGGGGTCTGACTTGGTTGAGTATGCAAGTCCAGCCTCCCCGTACCAAAGGTGAGAGGGAGGAGTAGTAGGAGTCGCAGGCCTCGATGCTCACACATCGGATGTTTGGAGAGAGGAACGGCGGGTCCAGAACACCAGGAAGAAAAGAAAAAGGCTACTAACAAGATTTGAGTTATCAGTAATATTACTGCGCCTTGCGGGTTTTGCGGAGTCAGCTTCGACAATAGCTTCGGATGAGGGAGGCGACAACTTGAGTCGTGCAACGACAATCGCCGCTCGGCCGGTTCTTCCGGTAGGCGGAGCTGGGCAGAAGTTGGGGAGATTTGCAACGTCGCGCGGCTCCGGTGACGTTGGAAAAGGTCACGCTCACGATTCAAGAAGGCAATTTTCTCAACTCGAAAAATTTGCCTATGCTGGCCTTTGCCATTGATGGCAACATCGCCGTTAGTCACGATTCCACACCCCCGGCCCCTATTTTTGTTCTAGCTGTCGATTATCTCCATCTTCATCTCCATCGCCCGCGGCCCCCATCCATCCATCCATCTCCGTCGGTCGAGCTAGACGTTGCGGTCGGCCGATATGCATCCACGTTTTCCCACGTTTTCCTCCTTTCCCTTCTCAGGTATCTCAGCCCGTCCGCTCCGTACGGAGCCACGGAGCTTTCCTTTCACAATCTCCACCGTCTGAGCGTTTTGGTCACGCCCGGTTTCCCGTAGCTTCGCCATTGTGGCCTTCTAATAGGGGACATGGCATGCAAAATAGCTGCTAAGAAGGGGGGCGTCGTGTTAGTTAGTCGTGTGTGTGGTCAAATTCCGCGCGAGAGCGCCCGCTCGCGCTCTCCTACGCACAGGTGCAAAAATAAGGGGAAATGGTCAAGCCTAGAGGAGGAACCACTTGGTGTCGTCTCACGATCTTCTGCCGCCGGCAAGACCCTGCCAGAATTTCCCAGGAAAGGGGACCATCCAGGTCGAAGGGTACAAGATATACTTTTTGTGTCAATCTTTCTTTCTCGTGATGTGATGTGTCGTGGGTACTAATGGTAAGGATTACGGCATTTCTGGATGAATTATTCGGAGTATTTCGTCATAATCCTAGCAGGCGATTTGGTCACCATCTATACCCGATTCATCATCGTCGCTGTCAATCTTTACGAATACCAATCTTTTCCAAACTTATCTAAACTTAATCACCCTTACCGCAATGTGTTTTCTTCCATCATCGTGACCGACGCCTCCCCCACCCCACTGTGAGATATCCGGGCGGGAACCCACTCCGATGAGGGTCCCCTTTGCCCGCCCCCCCTTCGGCGCTCGTGCCCCCGTCGACCCGCGTTCGCCCGCAGTCGCCCGCAGTCGCCCGCAGTCGCCCGCGCGGTCTCCCGCATGCGTGGGGGAGAGTACATGTGTACGGTAACGTAAAAAGAGACGTCCCAGCGGATCTTCGGGCTTGGCACAAAACGAAAAAAAAAAGGGCAGGGCCTGAAGTTTGGTCGAGCGTGGGGTTTAGGTAATATCGTAATACGTTAATACCGTAATTCTTCTACCAGCCTCACTTTTTTCGCGACTTTGGCGATTCATATTTTTCCCTCGGAGTATTCGAATGTGTGGGGGATAGGCAGAGAAAGGGGTCCAAGTGAGGGGGAGAGAGGGAAAGAGCGAAAGATCACTGCCTGTTTAGGAGAAAGACTGGACATGGGGGAGAGTAAAGGATCTGGGGGTTTCGTGATGAGAGATTTACATGGTGCATTTCATGGCTAAGCTTTTTTGGAACCATCGTAAGGTGGTACGACGTTTGGATAAGGCGCAGGGCCAGGAACTTGACAATGGCATTGATGATCTACCGGTAGTCCAGGTGGGGGGGAAAAGAAGGAGAGACAACAACGAAGAGAGTTTGGATCCGGTCTTTGGGACTAGAACCACCGGAAAAAACGTACATCGTGAGTTTTGATAAAGTTTGGTGCTTACTTGGTTCTGCTGTATTTGGTTTTGCCCGTTTTTGTTTCCGATATTGACAACTGGTTTTCTTGGTGCCCTTTGGTTTCCAGGCCCAGAAGGACCGAGCAAGATACTTCCCTTTTGGGTAGATCAATGTAATCGACAAAACTATAGAGGTGAAGATCACGAACGTTGCGAGCTGAAATGTTGGAAATTTGACCGCAGGGAGGGACGGAAGGGGGGGGGGGGGCGTGTATAGAGACGATACGAACGGACTCTACGGAGCACGGAAGGGAAGTTGGGGAAAGACAGTAGAGTAAGGAAGAAGATCCCATCGAATATCCATGGAAACTAGGTAACTTGGGAAGCACAGAGTTTACGAAAGGAACAGACATTGTTGGCAATGTGAAGAGATGGGTGAGAGAACAGAAAACGAGAAGGAGCAGGAGGAAGAGGAGGAGCACGGAGGGAAAAAACGATGGCACGGTACTCCGCAGTCCGGGCAAACTAAGAACGAGCACGGAGAAGATAACGGCGCGGCAGAACCGGCGGGAAGAGACGAAGAGAGAGAAAGAGGCAAATAGATAGAGCCGAGAAAGCGAGGCGTTCGTCAACTTAGATGCTAACAAAAGACCGATATAGTTTTACTGTTGAATGCCCGTTGATGGGACGACCGAAAGCGAACCGAGTTACGAAGAACACACAAGGGCCGCGCGCTGCTGCTGCTGCGTATGTCGTTCAACGAACGCAAGGTCATTGCTTTGATGCTGTCAAGAACGGGCTGATATGGGAGTGAGGGAGTCGTGGGCGTGTGGGAGTGATTCGATATGTTGTCCGTTGGTTTCCCTTCGCGGTCGAGTAGGAAGGTGATGGAAGCCCACGTAATCCGTGCCCCAACGTCTCCCAAATCTCAACGCTCAGTCCTCTTTACCTATATGTGTGTGAGGTGATCAGCTTTTCAACTCACTTGATGCTTACTTCATCAAGTCAAGTAGGTAGGTAGGTGTGTGAAGTCAGGTTATATTTTTGGCGTCAGAGCCACCTACATCGCGCCACACGCACGTACGGTACCTAACACACCTTGGCCGCACGTACAAAGTAGTACGTGCAGTAGAGCGGAACAGCCCCAGCCTAGCGGCAAGCCAGATCTTTGCCAACACACAAAAAAGAAGAGGGCGGGAGATCCATCTCTTGTTCGTGTTGCGTTCCTGGTTTTTGAGTCTGAGAGCGAAAATACCCTCTCTGGTCTGAGCCCGCCCCATGCGGCTCGTTCCTTCGGTTCGTTTCTTCTTTTCTTCGCGCCCTTTTTTTTTTTTTTTTTTTTATCAACGCGAACACCAGGAACGAGCGCACCCGCTCACTCGAACGCCATGTTCGCGCTCGCGCTCGCGCGCGCGCGGGACGGACGGGATAAGAGGAAACTGGAAGTTGTTCGAACAGACACTGCCACATGGACTTCCCCAGATCTAAGACGGGGAGAACGAAGAACGGCAAGATACACGGCGTTTGTCGTTGACCACGGGCAAGAGGCGTTTCTTTCTGTTCTGTGCGTTGGAAAAGTAAACCGTAAATTTGTCCGTGACGCCACACCATCAAGGCAAACCCACGGCCGGCCGGAATCACGGTCATTATCGTCCTTCGTCGTACGTAGTAGTAGGGTAGTAGTCGTCATCATCATCGCCGTCGAAGCAGCCCTTTCCCCAACGTACGTCCCTTTTGTCATCGCCGTCAGGCAACCACAGACACACACGCGCACACACACACACTCACGGACAAGTGTTCAACACCGGCACCACGGTGAACACCACCATCTAGCATGGCGCGAACAGACGGCGTTCGTTCGCAGCCAACGGTCTTCCCCCCGAGCGAGCGGTCCCGGGACCTAGGGCACGGCATCGCCGGCACTAACACCATGAAGGTGTGAAGAGATAGAGCAAAAAAAGGGTTCAGACTAACACCCGAGAGTTTCCCCCAGGAAAAAACGTGTTGCCCACTGACCTCTGGGATCTGGCTTCCGTCCTTCGTAAACCGCACCTGTTCTGTGTGTTGTTCTTGCTCTGTTTGTTTTGTTTCCATCTGTTCATCTGGACAAGAAGACATAAACAACAATACCTTTCGACGAACGGTTCCCATTTGAACCGTTGTCCTGACGTTGTCAGCGCGACCCAGTCGTGGGCCACGTTGCTTCCCGTCGCTCTCGGATATATGGAGAGAGATCTTGCTTCTACCCGTATCGATATCTCACAGACACACTTTCATCTGGTGAGCCTGCTTCGTTTGCGCCAAGATAACAGCGAAGCATGAAAGAATAGATCGTGCGACACCCGGCTCGGTGAATATCGATTACTCCGTTCGATGGCATAACATACCGTAGAACCTAGTGGAAGAGAGCGGAGAAATTTCGATAGCATCGCCGAGTACGAGCAAAGACTAGGAACTGGCGGACTATGCAACCATCGGCTTGTGCAGCAAATCCTGGATCGGGGGATGATGTCGACGGGGTGCTGAGGAATCTGTCATCTCTCTGTTTCAGCAATCTTGCTGCTCCTCCAAGGTATTCCGGACGCTCATCTGCCGGTCCAAAGAAAGCAGTCTAAAGAAGAAGCAATTATTTGAGAGGAGGAGGCGAGCCCCCCCCAAAAAGATGCAACCGGACGTGATACCTACCGTGCGCGCATGCTTGATCTGCAAAGGGACAGACCTCTTTGCATGCTTTTCGTAATTTGAACCTGCATGGACCTGACCAGGAAAAAAATGAGAATGATCTAATGATGAATGATGCAAGGAGATTCTCACTCATGTCTTGTTATGAGTCGAGCAGGCGGATGGGTTTCTTTGAAGATGCCTCCATCAATAACTGCTTCCTCTCTCATATCTGGTGTTGCAAGAGGTTGTGTGTGAGCGGACCAATGGCATCGCTTTCGCGGTTCGCGGGGACAGTAGTTGACCATTCCGCGCCGCCGAGACAGTATTCATCGCACCCGTTCTTGGGCAAAAGATGGGCAAAAAGGGGACTAGTCGGCGGCGGCATGCAGGCGTCGATCAACGACACTACCGGGACAAGTCCTCAAGGATACTGAGTAAGGAAGAAAAGCCCGCGCAAGCTGGCTAGCGGAATGCGGAGGAAGCTGCAGTAGTCAAAGAGACCAAGTCGCAGCCATATCCTGCTCGCGACCCTGTTTCGACGGTCAAAATTCAACGTTGGACGTTCGGCTCATTCGATGCTGTTCCGGAGCCTGCACACACAAACTCTCTTGGAGCCCAGCCCTCCGCGGCCACCAGCGGGCGGCATCCGGACCCAGTGTTCGTTTGTAAAGATGAAGCCTTTTTCTTTCTTTCCCTTTCCCTCGGAGGCAAGGAGGACACAGCGCGACAGGCGTCGTTCGTGTCTAGACATGACATCAACGTACATGGACAAAGTGACTGGTCGATGTCCGGTCACAAAGAGAATCCACCATCGTCCCACAACGTCCGTTCGGGACTCGGGGGACAGATCACCAGGCTGCCTGCAAACACCACACATAGCAGTCAGTGCAGTGTCCGCCGTCAGGAACCAACATCGATCCATCATGTCCACTCACTCACTGCCTCGCGAATCCATAGGTCCTCGAAGGATGCCGCTGGATTTAAATCTCATGTTGGCTCGACCGACACATCAGACGACGGCTGCCGTGGCACATGCGGCCGGGGGTGCTCAAGCGTCACGCAGCGAACAAGGCCATTATTCTGACCCGACAGACCATTGTGACAAGTCGTGAGTTGTTGGGAAAGATCTCCGGCGCAGCGTCACAGATTCGCCATGCCGGGCGCCGCAAAGCAGCATCGCAATTGTACGGGTCATGGTTCGGGTGCATGCTGGCCCAGTCAACGAACCCCCCGAATGGTCTCCTCGGCCGACCGATGCACCTTTCCTGCCAGATTGTTCGACGTGCATTCCGATCAAGTGACGGACTGTTGCATGGTCGATAGGACCACTGTTCCATGCTCTTGGAACCCCATCGCACCAGAAAGTTTGTCATATTTCCCCTTGCGATTTGACTTGCAGAAATCATCATCCCTCGTAACTAATGCGAGATTGAGAGGCCTCGGGGAAGACGAACCCCCTTTCGCGGTAACAATGCCTTTCGTAGTAATCAGCCGGAGAGGGAAAGGAGATGGGCTCTCTTGACCGACCCGCCCAGTCCAGCGCTTTGACTCCTTATTTCGGGCGCGGGATGAGTCTTTCTGGTCAGTCGGTCTCGTTCGCAAGCTGTCGGTTTTACATCCAAGAAAGAGAGTTCCTGCAAACCCTTGGTATAACGCTGCCAGACACATTCCAGCGTGTTGATATCCAAGGCCAAGGGTAGCGTGTCGTTCCCGATGCTGGTGCAAGAACCCCCCCCCCCCTTTTGTGAAGTCAGTCCTCAGCCTCGTACAATGGGCATCTGCAAGCGACAACTGCAACTACATCTTGAATGGGATGCGCCCTGGAATATCCCAGACTTTGCAGCATTGTCGATAAGTCGGCAGTTGCCATCCAAAATGACATGGCCGGACAGTCATGCCTCCTTCTCCACGTTGATACTATGGCCTGCCCCCGCTTTGCCCTGCTGCGAACGCCTGCGGGACGTGACCGGGAACCGTTGTACTTGCTCGTCAAGCGTAGGATAGCTAACGAGGTTTCTCCTGGTAGCAAAGACAGTGAGTTGCATTTGCCTTCGTCTTTTCTCCGATAGGTCTGATGTTGTATCCGTACTGTTCAGCGTCGACATGGACTTCAAGTCTCCAAAGAGTCCAAATTGTGAGCAATTCTTCTCTAGATGGCGTAAATTTCAGAGTGGGGGGTTCAATAGTGTCTCATGACGACTCGGCACCCGATATATCTCAACACCCCCTCCCCCTGCAGTGAAAAGATGGAGGCTGTAGTTATCGGACGTGAATTAATAATCGCGACGTGATATAGCCGTATTCCACTGAACGCAATCTTATCGACCTCCATATCACCTTGGCCCCGCCTCTGCAAGACGACGTTGACGTTGATCATGTCAATACAAGCGCCTTCTTATTTGGATTCCGCTAGCGCGCCTCGTGGGTAGTCAAAATCAAGCACTGGGTTGGCATTGTGCAGTTGTGCCGGCCCGTTTGGCAGCCATTGGGTATGAAGTAGGATCTCTCCCACCTACAACACATTCTCGTGCGACTGGGACTTGCGATAATGGCGTTATCCATGTCGGTACTGCGTATACCGAATGTACGAGGTCCAGAGGCGAGAAAGCCCCCGCGGAACGCATCCGGCCAGAGTGGGTGCTTGCCCGCCGTTGAAGATGTTTCAATCTTTACGGATACAACACACGTCAACTCCCTGACCACTGGCTGATCCGCGTTTGATTTCCGCTTGACAGCTGGGGCCACTGTGGCCAATTCGAATTTGCATCCGTGAAGCTTTGTGCTGTAGCAGTGTAGCAGTGTACTCCGTACGTGAGCGATTGTGTATCCGAACGGTACCGTGTCTGTGTCTCCCGAATAATTTATCCATCTCGACTCAGTTTTTGTGGCCTCCATTTCTTGGCAGCCTTGGGGCGCGGCTCATATTCTTGGAGCTGAAACCGTGGGCATCTCCATCCATTCTGATTTAACCGCGCCGTGGCCTGGCCGCAGCATCAACAGTAACCTTGGGGGCTTCATCGTCGAAACCAAGTTGAGGCTCAAGACGATCTCCCTGCCGTCCGGCAAGACTGATCCCGGATCCTCATACTTGATCAATGCGCCAGAAGCTCTCGTCCAGGATCCCTTTCACACCCCCGCGCAACTCGTCTCATACGCGGTTGACGCCATACTTGTTTAATGTGGGCCTTTTCAAATAACTGTCCAGTCTGGACATGCTGTCCCGAACCTTAGTCTTGACTTTATCCGCGAGAATCGACGCGAATTTGCCCAGCAAGCGTGCGCCTGATCGACCTGCCAAGCAGTCGATAGCCCAATGCAACTGTAAAATTTGGCATAGGCGGGCAAAGTTGATGTTCATGATCGGTCAGCTGCCGAACGATGTGATGAGATGTGACCCCCATCGATCCGCGTATGAACTAGCTCGGTGTAGAGTTGTATTGTACGTAGCCGCGAGGCGGTCATGATGTATTTTCCGTTGATAACAGTGTCGCAGTAAAATGTAAGGGCAACCAAGTCCCTCAAGCTCAAGGGCGCAAAGTCACCAAAAGCTGGCTGCCCCCTCCTCAGGCTGGCCCTGGCTTGCGCGCCTCACAGGTCCGGACCCGGGCTAGAACGCTCGTTCCTGGCTAGGAGCTATTGTGCGGGGGACGGAGGACCCTTTCGGGCTACTGGCCAGTGAAAGAAGCAGCGAGGGTGCCTCTGGGTTAGGGATCCTCCTCCCCCAGCCTCCTCGAACACCATCCCATCCCATTATCCCTTGTGTCTTCGTCGTGGGTCACCTCGACAGCAGTCTCTCAGCGTTACTTCGCGCTGTCTGCGATGGCCGTATGTACCGTTGCGGATGTCTTGGGCCCGCTGAGTTCCCCTGCGTCTGTTCAAATGTGTGTTTGACTCGGCCGTGGAGCTATTTCTCTGCTATCTGGGTGCCTCTGGAGATTGTGCTGTGCAGATTATTATGTTGGCTCTTTGTCAATGGCGTTTATTACGAGTATCAGGCCCACGTGAACGATTAGCCACCGGAACTCCGTTGAAGCCTCGCTACGATAGTGAGGATACGCTGCGTTAGTATCCGTAGCCCACTTGAGCGAGGTGACTAACAAAGTCCATTGAATGCGCTGCCTGCCGAGTCGGGAATCAGTGCCAGACGTCTCTTGGCACTAATGACTTGCGCACTTGCCGGCCCGATACTTGCGAGAGTTGCCATTGACAGCGTCTTAGTCCCAGTATGGAGTCGCAAGTCAGGGAGTACAGTAGGGACTGGCGTGGGAGTGAGGGGTCTTCGTATCTTTCGGGTTCCATTGATGATACATCGGCCGCGTTAGACAAGGCTCACCCACCGGCCTGTAGCGCCCGTGGTGTACTGGAAGCAGCCGCCCTTGGGCAGGGCGTCTGAGACAGAAGAGTGTAATTGTGCCGCTGAACCGCCTCGTTTTTTGGCATACGCCGCCGGCCCTGGGCTGTTTCTCAAAGAGATCATCAACCTGTGTACATAGTGTCGCAGAGGCGGAGACCCATGGGGTGGATTCCTGCTTCCCAAGCAGAAGTGTTTGGGCTTCCACTAGTGCATCTCGGCCTGCAGCGCCATTCCCTAGCAGTGATACTGTGGAAACCATCTCTCACTCTCGTTGAGACACTGCGACACCGCTAGCGGAGGGTCGCGTAAACAACGAGTCAGTTGCGACTGTGGACTGGGAAGAACTCTGCGGGAGGAGAACCGCCAACGTCCCGGGGCTGGCCCCCGAGCTGGTCAGAGTCCAGGCAGGCAGCGTATGAAGCATGGCAACGGAAGAGGCACGGTCTGGTAGGAACTTGAGAGTCGCATCTCGCAACTCGCCACCGAGCTGCAGTTATCACCGTTGTATTTCCCAACTTGATACCCATTCAAGGTAACGCGGTGAGGTGAACCTGGAATCCAGTGGTCGGTAGCAGGCCTCGTGTGCCAGTCGCACCGCGTGCTCAGGCCACAATTTCACGGCAAGAAGAAACACACCGGGCAAGGCATGCTGCGCTGTTTGCTGCAATGACGGCAAAGCCCGCTGTCAGGTCAGGCGAGAGCGGCGGTCAATGGATCCGGTTGGAAATGAGGGCGGATCATGACAGGCATTGCCTGCCTCGCCGGGGTGAGAAGACGATTCTTCAGGTGACGACCTGAAGCAAGCCATAAACGGATAGCAAGCCCTTGACCGATGAGGCCGGGGTAGGATCCGGCAAGGCTTGTCGATGGTGCAAGCTGAGTGGTTTCTGACTTCTGAGTCCTGACGGCCAGCGGCTCAAGACGAACAAGGCCCAGCACCGGAGTCAGATGCGAGATTCAAAATGAAGGCAAAGAACTGGGTCGCGGCTGACAAAAGGAGGCAACTAGACACTCGGCAAGGTACTGTGTAAGGTATTCTGTCTCCGTCCGGCTGTCAGCCCCCTTCGAGAGACCCGAAGGAATGGAACTGCGCGGCACAGGTGAGCAGAGAAAGCCAAGTCGGGCCTGGTGTGTCCCCTGGGGGCCGTTGTTCACTGCCTGCTGCCCGTCGACATGGCTCAGGTCAGGGCTGGCACGCCGCACAAGGGCAGCTTGATGGTCGTGGCGTGGGATGATGCAGCGGTTTCCATTGGCTTGGGATTGGTGTTGCCCGGTTGGCAGCCATTGCCCCTTGCCATTGGATGAGATCACGGCCACAACCGGCATCGGAAATTTCCCTCATCCTCTGCCCAGGCACGTCAGGTTCCCAGCTCAAGGGAAGCCAGCAAACAGACTGACCAATCGAGTTCCCGGGTGTCGCTCCATTTGGACATGGCTTGTTGGGCTGGGTGCTGCCCACAAGAGCTCCCCTCCCCCTAATCTGCAGTTTTGCAACGGTTGTGGTCGACGTCACCACCACTCCAGACCAAGCACGACGGCTCGAGTACACTAAATCGATACCAGCGTGTACGTTCGAAGGCAACATCCAATCGTTGCTTGGC